TACATACATGATGATCCATGGTGGCTGTCTGTTGGTAGTGTGATTGTGTGTTCTTGTCTCATGGACATACTTGACTCTGATTTTTCTGGTGGGCACTGCTATCTTCAATTTGGTTTGCAATCTGCAAGTGATACACTTTGAAAGCTATGGGAAGCTTCTAGAAGGGATTTGGATGTGACAGTTTATATTGAAGAGCACACTCGCCTAAGACATTATTTATCTAAAATAAGCCATAGATTCCGCATGTTTCTTCTCTTGGAGTTCTTGGCGGTGACTGCTAGTCTATTTGTGGCTCTACTACAAACAACGGGGAACCATGGAATCCTCACTTTGATAAATGGAGGTGATTTTGGGGTAAGTTTGGAAGTAGACTTTGTTAATATGTGTTGTTCCTTAATATATGTTTATAGCCTTGTGCCATTTTTGGAAACTAATTTGCTATTGTCTGTATGAAAGTTTTGATTACTTGTAATATCTCTTTTGTACAATTTTATTTTAGTAGGAAATCATTTCTCCTTGGCAATACTAATCATTTTGGCCAATAATCTGCTGTCCTCCACATGTTATAAATATATGTCAAGTGCAAACGTTTTTCACAAGGCAACGTGGAGTCCACTGTGATCTAGAAAAAGATGACCACTACTATTTTCTAGTTTCTTTTGGCGTTGGTTATTTGCTTATGATGGATTATGTCTTCTATCTCTTCTTTTTCTTTTCTTGCCCTTTTTTTAATGTGTGTGCAGGTGCCACAAACTGTTTCAGCAGGGCATTATACTCGGGAAATTCTATTGCTTGTAGTATGATACTCTGAAAACTTATACAAGTCAGATGCTTGATAATCCCCCATTGCAACAATGGCAGGTCTCCTCAATCGTTGATCTTGTTGGAATTATTCTCTGTCTGCATGCAGCTGCAAAGATAACACACAGAGCTCAACGCATTGCCTCAGTGGCTAGCAGATGGCATACTTATCTTACATGCAATTCAAGCACGGCTTCTCAAATTGGAGCTACAAGTAGTGGGGAAAACTTGGAAGCTGGAGCTCCAGCAGATATTTTACCCATGTACTATTCAGAAAGTGATTTGGAATCAACTGATTTTATTCCCATGCCACAAATACTCAGCTGGCTTCCTTATGTCTTCATACCACAAGCGGCAATCTTTTGGTATATATGCAGAACAATCAACTGTTTGCTTTATATTTTGCCAAACTCCTTATTAGGCTGCAATTGACTAAAGTTTCTGGACCATCTTCATACAAAGTCAAGTAATCAAATCATCACCCTTTATATCTCGTATGTCTTAATCTTAAGTTTTTAGTTGATCTTTTCCTATTCCTCATTGATGCTAAGCCTACACCTGACAGACGCATTCACAAAATATGGCTTTTGTGATCTGTAGTGTGGTCTGGCAAATAAATCTATCAGCATCATGGTGATGTAGGACTGATTAAGCAGTTTTTACTATACGAAAATGTCATAGATCTATTGCATGCTGTTTCTGTGTGGCAAGTTGGTTGAAAGACTTTCCAATTTACATTCATATTCCTTCCTCTATTTGGTAGAATGCGTTGAAACCGTTTATGACATTGAGGAGAAATTGTTCCATGATTACATACTAAAGTTTGTAGGTAAGGTTGCTCATGTTTGTTTGTTTCTCTGTTTTTTATTTCGTCAGTTACGTATTTGCAGACAAATCCTGGAGGGTTCACGGTTTATGGATGGACAATTGACCGGATCCTTATGAACACGGTATTCTTCATCGAGTTCTCTCTCTTCTCGTTTGTACTCGGAAAGACCATAACTATCACCACCAAATGACAAGTACCGAAATGTTACTGCTTGCGCATGCTCAATTTTTTTATGAGACGCTTCGTCATTTTTGAACTTTTATGACTTATTATCTAGGACATATATATATATATATATATATATGTCTCCTAAGAAAAAGGTAACTTGTATCATGTCTTAATTTTGCTAGTTTTGGCAGAAATTGGTTTTCCTTAATGCAAGAGTTTCTGATGTAATCTCGATGCATTATTTCTTAATGTATTCAAGGTCCTTTTTTTTTTTTCCTTTTAGTAAAGCAAATGTATCCAATGTCTTGGTTGCATAAGTTGATCCTCCGTATTTCAGTAGTCAACCCTACGCAAGATGGGACCATGAGCCAATAGATGAGACTGAAGATGGAAAGGCGCTGCAAATAAATCATAGACACCTTGCCCAAATGTCAGTGAACGAAATCGACCAAGAGCCAGGTTGTTGAACTCACTTAGTTCCGTACTTTCTACGCCTCATTTCTTTGAAAGATAAAGAAAATAAACAATTAAAAATACTGGGGATTAATAGGGAAAATTTATAAAATTAAACATTTTAAAGATTAACTAATGAGTCTGACAGATAAGATTAGAATAATGATTAAATATCATGGCAGTAGAATTATGTAAGTAATTTTATATTTGTTTGATATTGTAGAGAGAATACAAGTAAGATTAAACTGATGCATTCAGAATCGCTTAATCAAGATGTAATGGAAGCATATAATTCATTCTACATTAAATACACAAAAATGTGACATGTTGGAGAAATCAAAATAGATGCACTAATAATTGTTAATTTTCACTGTAATTAGAGAAAATACAACCAACTTCCCTGACAGTCTGTGACAAACCCATTGGAGATTTAAAGATGACAAAGCAGGCTTTTACAAAGATTCAATCTCTAACTCGCGTGCTTCTGCAACCCACCACTGAAAAATTATCCTAAGCCAATATATGGTTTCCTATATTCACTTTCAGTAGCATTTAATAGTGTTCTAATTTTGATGTTCAAGGGTGATCGAGGCAATTTATGTTATAAGAAAATTTAACATTTGTTATATGCATGCCAAAAAAGTCACCAGGATGATACATTAGTTCAATGAGTTGGGTGCCACATAAGTCGCCAAAAAATACTAGCTTCAACTAATTATAAGTCAGAATTTACAAGCCCAGGATCTCATAAGCTATACAGGCCTTAAGTTGGCTTCATCAGTAGAGGAATTGTCAAATGGATGTATAGGCTAATCAGCGAGCTTATTTGGACCATATAAAGCCTCCCCCGTCAAGCAATATCGATCTTCTTGCTTGGATTTAAACTTTGTTTCTTTGGAAAGCTACTAGGGTTCAAACTTGGCTCCTTTCTATTTCCCACAATAAAGGAAACCACCAAATTAAGATACAGAAGAAGCCGGAGCAGCTATAAAACTAACTTTGCCAACTAAGCCCAAGTAAGAGAGTAAAAAACCAAATAGAAGACCTAAGAGCTTCCTGAACTACTCAATGGTACATCTATTAGCCTCTCCGCCACGCCAAACGAAGGTCCAACTCTTCCCTTTGGTAACAACATGATATCATCAGCTATCACAACAGCTTTGCAACAGACAGACAATAAGAGATTTAATTTGTTGCGTGAAACCAGCATGTCTCAACGCAGCTTCAGCTGTAATTCGCTGCATTAGAAACACAAGGATCTCATCAATAAATTGCCTGTATAATATCATAAGGCAAGAATATCTTGACTTGGAACTCTGAGCCTAATTAAGACTCACCTTCTCTGGATCGTATGTTAGAAGCTGGCTTAACAAATCAAAGCCCTGGTCAGAAAGAACTGGAGACCCCTTGAAGCTCACTGCAGGAAATTTCTCCCGCAATGTATTCCTCCTGCAAAAGAAATCAACAAAATTGTAAAAATTAAGGAGTGAATAGAAAGAGCAGGCTTCAACAACTTGAAGGATCTAATGTGTAGAAGAAATACTTACAGTTGCTTAGCAAATTTAACTTTGGCTCCTGGTAGTTCAGAAAATCCTGGCCAGATTGTCTCATTTGGTGAACCAAGAATGCGGAATATCTGCATTGTTAGACCAACTAATCAATATATATAGATAAATATATGGAAAGGAATAACTATTGGAAAAACAATCCCAAGTATGAGGAACAATTAATTACCTTATCAAGCTGCTCAAATTCAGTTTTGCCATTAAAAAGTGGTTGCTTCGCTAATAATTCGGCCATTATACAGCCGATTGACCACATATCAACTGCAGTTGAGTACTGTTTTGTGCCTACCAGAAGTTCAGGTGCCCTGTAAAAGCCAAAAACATTAAAAAAATAATAATAAGTTTGTTGAACATACACTAGTTAATTTACTTAAAACCAAAATAGGGAGAGGAGATCAAATACAGTCGAACTAACAATTCCAATGTAAAAACAAGGGCAACTGCCTGAAAAAATAGCTAAAATGGGCAAAAACCAAACCAATATGTGTGTGTGTGTGTGTGTGTGTGTGTGTGTGTGTGCCCAGCAAGTTATAAATATGGAAAAGCTTTACAGAAAATTTCGGGCCTTCCACCTAATACTAGCTAAAATGTGTTTTAAAACCACATTATGATGCCATTAGTGACTAAAAATTTAAGTGGTAAAATCAGCATCTTGTATACAGACTATTTGATTAACCTTCACATACGTAAATGCTCTGCATCACATGGCTCATACCTGTACCACAAAGTGACCACTAAAGGAGTAAAAGGTCTTGCTGGGCTCCCATATTGGCGAGACAATCCAAAATCACATATTTTCAACTTCCCACTGTTGTTTAAAAGAAGATTTGATGTCTTCAAATCCCTGTGCATAATCCAATTATCGTGGAGATATTTCACTCCCTCCAACAGTTGAAGCATTAAGCCTTTTACCTCTTTTTCACTAAATGGCTGCTTCATTGCCCCAATAAGCCCTTTGATATCATGTTCCATGTACTCCATAACCATGAAAACAACACCACACCCATCATCTCTGTCATCCATAACAACTTCCTGACATTCACTATTGAAGGGTGATGAAGAGACAAAAGGAGGTTTATTTCCCTTAATGCTGACATAGGGAAGCCATCGCTTTCTAGCCCCATCTTCACCTTCTTCAGAGCCACAATTTCATCTGTCTTCTTATCCCTAGCTTTATACACAACACCATAGGTGCCTTCATTATTTTCGTGAGTTTCTCATATTCAAACACACTTCTGCAACCCTGAAGCATATTCACACTTCTAGGTTTAGGTGCTGCAAGCTCTTGGAACTCATAATCAAAATGTGAGTCCAAATAACTAACACTAGTACCCTCACGCATCTCATCAAGCTCCATAAAGTCATCTTTATTCACTTCTCTCTCCAAATGACAAACCTTGCCAGCAGGTTCAATGAAAATATCTTCTCTAATAGATGAAGAAGATTTTCCCTGACTACATTGAGAGCCTTCTCTGCGAAACTCCCCACTTTCAGGAGTATTCAACAAATCCACATGGTGACTAGACTTCCCGCTAGAAATTTCTCCAGAATTTTCTAATATTTCCTCCCAGGTGACTCTTCATCATATGCCCACCGTGATGCTGAATGTGCCAAACTTTCCCACACTCAGAGTCTTCCACCTCTTCCAGCTCCTCATAATTTCTCCTGGTCTCCTCAGGAAGCAGAAGAGAGGATGAATAAACTGGAGATTTCGAATTTACCCCCAAGTTAGAAGCCACGCAAGATTTAACAGGTGCAATCTGCATGCCCTGGAGCTGAGTATTTATAAGGGGATTCTTAGTAGTATCCCCATCTACAGCAACATCTGCCCCAGAGGACTGTAACAAAGATAGCAGAGAACCAAGGGGAGCAACTTGTTGGACCATCCTGTTCTTTGAAGGATTGCTCACATCCACGTCATCCCTACCCCAAACAATAGGCGAAATCTTCCTTTTCTTCTCTGGAGGCTTGGACATTGCATCTTCATGCTTTGAATTATGCGCATCCCTGGACCTGTAAGCACACTCATCCCCTGTGATGCCTTGACCTGATAACTCACCAAGCTCCAAGGCTCTAGTCCTACCAACAGACTCTCTGCCTCGGCCACTGCCATTCTTTCCACTGCCAGTCTCAATAGCGCCTGAATAAGAACCGTATCCATTCCTACGCTTGCTAAACTGGTCACAACGACCTTGACTTGAGTCTCGATCACTGCAGCCGTTTCTATAGTAGCTAGAGATTTCCTTTTTAAAGTAACGAACTTCCCTCCTCCTTATGACATCAACACGTCCTGCCGCCATAATGGTTAACCAAGGACTCTTCTTTAAGCAGCCAATCAAAACAAAAAGAATATGTACACACGCAATTCAAACCCTAAATGAAACCTAGAGATTAATATTATTTGCCACGCTGGCCCTACAATTTAACTTCTCATATATGTTTTTTTAACAGGCAACCACAGATACAAATATCAATAGGTTAACAATGCAATGATCGCAGCAGAACAAGTCCAATACCAAATGTAATATATATATTATTCAGAGCAGATATACGAGATCGAATTGAGTTATCAAATATGTTGACACAATGAAACAATCGGAGTGGTGCGCCTGCTCTCTCTTCCTCCAAGAAGGATTTTGCGGCCGAAAAATTCACAGGTAACGAAAAGTCTTACCAGAACTTAAAGATTCTTTCCGCCCCCCCAACGACGACGAACGCTGGGCCAATTTACGCTTGCAAAGGTTCGATCGCCGTGGATAGAAGCAACGAAGGGTTTGATCGCCGTGTATGGATGCAACGAAGGGCTGCGGATCTCTCGCCAACGCGTTTTCTGACTCTCTCTGGTTTTCCTTTCCTTTTCAAGGGCTAGAAATCGATTATCGATGCACGTCCAACCATATGCAGGTGGCGGTGGGGAAAAGATTTTTTTAATCAATTTATCTTAAACTCCTGGAAATTTCTGCATTATCACAACAACCCCAACTAGTTTCTAATTTAGCTCTCCTAAACCCATCTTGACGTCAGACTTGGATCAAAATCAAACAAACAAAACGCCATCATTTTTTAGCTGCACCATGATGGCCCAGTTTTGGATCCAATTAAAATTTGTGATCTTTAGTTTGGTATCGGATTTTGGTCCGGAAAATTTCAGTTCGGTAAAATAGAATAATGGGCCTTTAGAGCCCACTCCAGCTTCAAGTTTGAATTGATCTAGGATGAAAAATAAGCCCAACCAACTTTTAGGCATAGGGCTTATTTTTCCTTTTTTGGGTAAGCAAGGGCTTATTTGATTAAAAAAAAAAAAAATCATAACTTCAACTGAAAACGTTTAAACATTTCGAAATTAATTTCAAACGTCCAGTGCCCGGTACTTTAAATTTGAAAATTAGGTGAAAATGACTCATAATTTTAAGTAGAGCAAATTTCATCTATTATTTAATATTGCATATATTTAAAATATATAATTTTTATTCCCATTCTTAATTATTAGATATATCTTATATTTTTATGTTTAAAGAGTTGAATATTTAAATGCTTTAATATTTAAAATTTCAGAACTTAATTTTTAATTTTATCAAAATGGTTTTTTATTTTATTTATTTGATAAATGTAATTTGTATAATACATAAGAAGAGCAACTTATATAAGTAAAAGTAAGATTCTGATATAAAATATCTCTTCTCACGTCAATTTCTAAGAATAATATAATATAATATATAAAAAATTATAAACTACTGAATAACTTAAGATTAATTATTTTAGGCTAATTATTTATACTTAATAAGATGTTAAATTTAATAATGCTCAAATTGTTTCATGATATCAAAATATAGGTTAAGTTATCTACACTTGTTTAAGTAAATATATTATAGATACTCTGAGGGTTTATTAAATAAAATTAAAAATTAAGTACTAAAAATTATAAACATTAAACTTTTGGGAATAAATTATTTAGTGTTGAATTACTGAGATTTAAACTCTTTCTACGCGCATGATAACGTATAATAGAAATAAAAAAATTTATTTATTTTCAATTATTTTCATAAAAAATTGAAAATAAGTAAAATGAATTTTACTTAAAATTTGGAACTAGTTTCTGAAAGGTGAATGCCCTTCATAAGCTTTCAAATCTTTCAATAACCTAGAAAATTGTTTTAACCCTTTGAAAATATAAATCATCCCTTTGTACCTTGGTCATATTTCTTTTACAGTATGAAGAAATACTGCTTTGTTACTTTTTTATCTTTATTTCAAAATATTTTATGCAAAAATAATTGGAATAGGTTGTTTGATTGTTTGATCATTAATGCTTGAATTCGTGTAATATAGGAGGTGAAAAAAGAAAGAGATAATATAAAAATATTATAAATAATAATTTTATTAAATAAAATAAAAATAACATAAAATATAAAAAATTGTAAGCATTAAAATAAGATGTTATAAACAAAAATTGAATTTAAACTTGAATAAATGACAAAAAATTTGATATAATAATCAGAGTCTAGACTCATTTATGGAACCTGTCGATTAAATATTAAATGTATAATTAATAATTGTATTTTAATTTTTATAATTAAGAAATTAAGAATTAGGTATTATATAAAAATAATACATCTATTTAAAGTATTAAAGATTATTTGTCAAATTCAAATTCATATTAAAAAATCAAACTCATAAATAATAAATTTAAATTCTTAAAATATCAAACTCAATTTTATATTAATAACTCAAAATCTGTACATAATAACTATTTAAAAACTCGTATATAATAATCCTTAAACTATTGTCAGACTCACAATATATAACTTGATATCATTGTAATGAAATTATAGATAATCATAGATAATAAATGTAAAAATTGATCTATATGGAAGGAGATATAATTTCAAAACATCAACACAAAATCAACATGCTTAATTCATATAACTATCAATTTTTCTTTTACATTATGTACTTCTTCACTTTATAGTCGATGTCTCAATCCCAAGTTTTTTAACTGTTTGATCTGAAGGCCATTTAGTAAGAGTTATCAAATTCCCATAATTAAGATTAAGAATGGTGTCACAAAATTGAGATAGCAACTTCTAAAAATATGAACAAAATTTTTATTAACGAGATAATAATTGTTGATGCGATAAATGAAAAAAATAAAGATAAAATAAGAAAAATAAATTACAGAAAATAATATTATATACTTGCTGGATTATAGATCCAATATTTTCAATGTTATTTGAAGCATTAATCTCACTCCAAAATATCTAAGTAGTGATAGTAGGCTGACTATGAAAAATTATAAAAAAATTTTATTACAAACTCGATAAATTAATACAAAAAATTAAAGAATTTAAACATAATACGTAAAAAAAGCTATTGAAAATGTAATGGCCCTAATTTTGATAATATATTTGAAATTTTAGTGTAAGGAGGACTTAATTGCATAAATTAAAAAGATACAGGGCTTAATTGGAATCTGGGAAGGGTTGGATTGAAGAAATTAAATTAATTAGGGCTTAATTGGGAAATTTAGGGGCTACACTGAAAGAAAATAAAAAGGGGGGACCAGAGTGTAAAGACATAGGAAATTGGGGGGCCAATCAGAGACAGGGAGGGGGTCAAAGTGAAAGGAAATAAAATTTGGTGACCCAAATTGAAAAAAGCTAAAAATTTCCACTCAGCTGCCGATTAGAAAACCTAGACAATTTAGGATGAATTAAGCCATTCCATTACCTCAAATCGAATATATATACCTCTTATTGAGCATAGAAGAAAAGCCCTCAACTTATTCTAACTTTCGTGCTTTTGATTTCTTTAATTTCTCAAAGAAAATTTCGTGGAGTCGTGAAGCTTGGATCGAGAATTGTTGTGAAATTCACCACTTTCAGTTAGCAATTCTTCAAATTTGTTTCATAAGTTGGGTCATTGACTTGAGTTTGTTGATTTTTAGCCTTGGATTGAAGCTTAAAATAGAGGTAAGTGCTTAAATTTTTGGTTTAGGGGCGTTTGGGTCTTTCGCAAGGGACCTAGTCTGGAAGCAAGTTATGAGTAGAGAATAAAGGATTCAAAATAGATCTGAGTATGAGTTAGTTTAGCTAGACCAATTCAGCTCCGCAGAACTAGGTTTGGCCGATTCATGCCAATTTTGAAGGCTTTCAAGCTAGTTTAACCTGGTTTTGCATGGTTTGGGCTTGGGTCCAACCAATCCAAGGGATTGATTGTCTAGTTTAGGCTGGTTCTCGGGGTTTTCTGTCCAAATTTAGGGTTTTAAGACCAGTTCAGTGATATTTAAAGCTGATTCAAAATAGTTTAGGACTGTTTCAGGCCAATTTAGGGTTGTTTGAAGTTGGTTTAGGGTGGTTTATAAGTGTTTAAGGGGGTTTAGGGTGATTCAGGAGTGTTTAAAGCATGTTCAAATTGGTTTAAGGGTGTTTATGGCCAGGTCAAACCGGTTCAGTGATATTTGGAGTTAGTTTGGGGTAATTATGGTTGGTTCCCTTCCGCTTAGAAGGTTTACATAAAAGTTTATTTATGTTTTTGGTTCAGTATAGGTCTAAGTGTCAATGATAAACCTCGAGATGCGTGCTAAAGCTCCAAGCTAGGTCTAAGCTTTATTTTGGCAATCAAGCCATTAATTGTTTGAGTTTCAAATTTGGTTTTAATTTTAAATCGTTGTGATTATAAATATACTTGAGAAGACATGAGTTCATTATCTAGAGATTCAGATTTCTGACTTATACTGTGAGTGATAATAATTATTATATCTATGTGTTTTTTACTCTAGTAATTAATTATCTATTATAATATGGTTTATTAGTTTTGGAAATTAAATCTTAGGACATATATTCGGTTCTTGAAATTTAATGTAAGTTCCTTGAAACATCAAATGTTAATATAAATCTATGCTTATATTATGTGTGAATTCCGAAAACCGTGTATCGGGAGTTATTCTGGTTTTGGTTAGAATGAGTTTCTGATAGATACGATTGTGTTTAGGCATTATGTGTTCTGTGTATACTTTGATTCTAGTTAATATGGGATTTCAGTATGACATGTGATATGTGATACTTCCGAAATAATATTTTCTCTTGTGAGATGAGACATGTAGTGTTCTAGTACTCCCATACGCTTTCGATACTAAAACTCTACATGTTTTTGGCAAAATTTTATTTCAAATCTGTGAGGCATATTATGTGATTTTTTGGTGATGTATATACTATGTTCACTATTTTATAATATGTATACATTTGCATACTTTACGATATATGTCCCAGTATGATTAGAATTTGTATTATTATTCATTGAGTTTTATACTCACCTCCTATTC